CACTCATGATCTAGACAGATCTGTGAATTACTTAGGTAATGTCCTGCAACATGCAGATGACCTAGCCTTGTTTATAACTGTTGCCTCTATTGCCAAAGCTACTTCCCGTTTATCCCAAGCTGTCAACTTTCTTAATAACTGGCTGTTTGAGCATGGCCTATCAATCAATATCTCCTTTGAAATGCAGTACTGTGGTTTTCTCTAGGCGAAGGTAAATACCAGAAGTGTCCATATATATTGAAAATACCCTAATCCCCACTGAAAATCATGTGAAATTTCTAGGAGTTATTCTGAATAGCAAAATGACAGGAATTCCTCATCTATCATACATTGCTTCCAAATGTGAAAAAAACCTCAATGTAATCCAATCCCTGTCAGGTGCCTGGTGGGGTTCCCACCCATAATCCCAAAAGCTTTTATACAATGCTCTTATTAGAAGTCATTTTGACTATGGCTGCTTTTTACTAGAACCATGTAGCAAAATGGCTCTTAATACCTTGGACAAAATTCAGTCAAAATGTCTACGTATAATAACAGGTGGCATGAATAGGTTTTTGTTCAAAGCTGCTTGTTATTTACACCATTCTCTCCTCTTCAAACTTCGTTCCTTGTATCAGTCGGTCAGGGACTCTTCATATTGGTCCCACAAGGATTTGCCATGTATTATAAGAAGTTATATTAAATTAGTCAATGTTCACTCTCCTGTTTATCAATCCCGTAGTAACACACTTTTCAATATCCCATACAAGGCTCTAATTTTCAACCTAGACATTATTCTAAATTTCGGAATAGATAAGAATATTATTGAAGTAAATAACAAATTAGTATGCTCCTCCTCCAAAATTGGCATGATTGGTTAACTATGTACACTGATGCTTCAAAGCTAAGTGATGAGAGATTAGTTGGGTCCGCAGTCTGGATTCCCAAATACAAGATTATATTAGATTTTAACTCTCCGGCTGACTCATCTGTATTCACAGGTGAGTCTTTAGCTATTTTAGAGGCAGTCTTATATGCGGAATCTCACAATCTGGAAAGGACTTTCATTTTCTTAAACTCCCTCAGTTGCCTTCAAAGCATTGCATCCAGTCCTTTTCACTCTAAGATAAGATACCCCCTAATTTTAAATATTAGAAAGTCTCTGTACAACTGCCATAAAAAAGGGCTGAAAATTGTCTTGGCCTGGATCCCTAGCCACTGCGGGATTCAGGGTAGCGGATCATTTAGCTAAAAAGCCACCAAATCTGGCTCCCTCCCTAAACAATGTCTCTATGCATATGACCTCCTACCAAAGGCTAGATACAGCCTTCTGTCTACATGGCAAAGTATTTGGCATCAGTCTAAACTTTTAAAACGTAAACACTATTCCAAAGTCCAAATTAATATTCCATCAAAACCCTAGTTCTTTCAATATCGCCACTTTAATAAAACAATCACCTCTACTGTTTGTAGCTTTCGTTTTGGGCATGCTTGTACTCTGGTACACTTGGCTAAACTAAGGATTAGGGATAGCTCAATATGTGAATGTGGGCTAGACGAAGGATCCGTAAACCATCTGTTCTTTGAGTGTCCTAATCTTTCTCACTCTCTCTGTGATATCTGGCTCCAATACCTCCCGCGTCCTGTAAACCAGTATTTGTTGTCCCTAGTGTAAACTCCTTTTGTAAATATTTTGTGTGATTTTATTCGTACTAATAATATTGAACTGTAAAACTACTAATCACTTTTGGAGATGGTACTTAAAAATGTGACGTGTTTTGTTGTAGATTGTGAACCCACTCGTAAAATTGAGAACTCTTTAATGTAATAAATATTTACTTGTCACTCCCATGACTGACTTGACACTGGCAGAATTCTATCAAGAGAAGTGAAACAATAATTTAAAAGAAGAAGAAGTAAAGACGTGTCAACTGCAAATAATACGATATCATGGTCATTCCCTACTATGTAAGGTAACTCATTAATGTATACAAGAAACAGAAAGGGGCCGAGAATTGAGCCTTGAGGCACGCCTGTTTGTACCATCGCCCCGAAAGAACTCATACTGTTAATGACAACTTTTTGGGTTCTCTTACTTAAATATGAAATAATTAATTTAAGGGCATCACTTCTTATACCTTAATGTTGAAGTTTCCTGATTAATGTTTCATGGTGAACACAATCGAAGCCCTTGGATAGGCTACAGAATATACCCAAAGCATCCTGTGAATTCGCCCATGCATTAAAGATATATTTAATCAGCTCAACACCGGCATCAGTTGTCGAGCGACCCCTTGTAAAAACATATTGATTTTTAGGAAGTAAATTATTTATATTAAAAAAAATTAACATTTGATCAAGAATAATTTTTTCAAAAATCTTACTAAATGTTGGTAGTACAGAAATAGGTCTAAAATTGGCGGGGTCTAATGTACTACCAGACTTAAATGAAGAAATTATTTTACTATGCTTCCTTAAATCAGGAAACACACCAGATTCGATACTAGTATTAAAAATAATAGCTAAATGCGGCGCGATTGTATCTATTTTAGACGCAATAACTTTAACGGAAATCCCCCACAGATCCTCAGTTTTCTTAACATCAATAGTTTTAAAATATTTTACAATATCTTTTGATGATACTTTATGAAATGTAAAATTCTTTGTACACGCATTTACATTTTGTTTAAGTAATGATTCGGCGACGGTAGGGGAAAAATTCAGTGACTTAGTGGTTAATATCGGAATATCAGTAAAATATTTCTCAAAAACCATTGCAAAATCCTGATCTGATTCAGTTAATTTGTAGTAAACACTTAACTGGTAGCTTCAATTGCGAGAGTTAATCTTACCAGTTTCGCTATTAATTATACTTCATGTCATTTAAATTTTATTAGAAGCCGTCTTAATTTTGTTGCTGAAATGCAAAGATTTGGCTGTGGAGCACACTCTTTTAAATATTTTTGAATATTTTTTTACATATTTCCTAAATTCGACGCTATGATTATATGACTTTTCATGGATGGAGTCATTCATTGAATGACTTCCAACTGTTTAAGGAGAATGTTTTAGAAGTAATATTAAATTCATTGCAAATAAGCTTAAATAATTATCCATACAAATAAAAAAAAATTCGCAAGATGTACGAGCAAGTACATGGTATTTCAATACTTTAGGAAATATGCTGATATCACGCCTGCGCGCGCGATACCGTTATTCCAACTAAATTTTATTCATAAGTATTTTTAGTACAATATATGCTCTCTAAGGAATCGGACACAGTTTTAATTACCACATCCCGTGACGTAGATACAACCTACATCGACATACTACACATAAATTTTATGTAGAGGGTTACAAGTCACAAGCCTCCCCCTCGTTATGAAGCGACTGCACTGACCGGTAACAGCATAGAGTAAAGTATTATAGGTAGTGTGGCGGCGCTGTCGTCGCGCCACAAGCGAAACACATCGAAGCCTAAATCGCGCTATCAAAGTTCCGAAATTAAAGCAGCATATATAGAATAGCTCCGAACTACCAATCGGAGCGCTGGCCGCACCCCGGGCAGAACACCTTGCCCGGCGGGAGATCTCCCCTTTTCCTTCCACCCGCTACAGTGGTGACCAACCGACGTGATATGAACACGCAACCAACAATCTTCGGAAACTACAATTTCAAAAACTTCGTCATCTTACACAAGTACCCCATTCATTCACTCCCGAGCAGACATTGTCTGCAGTCTTCACATTCTGCAAGCCATCTAGCTTTACAAAAGGTTCATCGCAGCACTGGAATAATAATGCTTCCTGTTCCTTCAAGCTACTCTCTGCGCTACAGTGTTCGGCACGGCTCTGAGCCTTACTGCTCGCCTCTGCTTCACGGCACTCTCGCAGATTACTTGCCTTCTTCTCGACTCACCGCAGACTACAAGGCAATCCCTGGCACTTTCTCCAGCTCATCGTTCTCACCGGCATCACTTGCAAGTGCGTAGTACGGCATGCATTACACACCGGCATATCATTCGCACCGGCGTCACTTGCCCTTACGCACACAGCATGCATTCCCCACCGGCATTAAGGACCGCACCGGCAATCGGACTGCACTATCGACCTCCGGTCTGAGCAGGGGGGTGATGTGGCGGCGCTGTCGTCGCGCCACAAGCGAAACACATCGAAGCCTAAATCGCGATATCAAAGTTCCGAAATTAAAGCAGCATATATAGAATAGCTCCGAACTACCAATCGGAGCGTTGGCCGCTCCCCGGGCAGAACACCTTGCCCGGCGGGAGATCTCCCCTTTTCCTTCCACCCGCCACTACTTGCGATCGCGATACTGCTACTGCAGTATCGCGATTGTCAAAATATCGTTTTATTTAATTATCATAATAGTTTTCTCCTGAAATATATTGACTGTATATTGACTCACGTACAATGACAACATAGTACCTATATCAATTGAAATACATCCGCTACAAGCGCCTAAACGACTTTTACATACAAGAACTATTTTTTCATCGATTCTCTGGTGTTCTGTAAAATGAAACTTAATTCAGCACCGGCGGATTGTTACTTCTGTTTTATCGTTTAGATGATGGTTTGAAGTAGATTATGCTATGTTAGAGTGACGCGATTTTGTGTGTTAATGTTAAGTGTCCGCACATGTGGACACGGACAGTTACTCTTTGATCTGAACTATGAAATGAACAAGTGTTCGGATGTTGATATTATAAACCTCAAGCACAAAATAAATAATAGCTTCAAGCTATTTTGTCCACTTAAGCAACTTAAGAACAAGATAGTGTTGTCATAGACTGTCTGCTAGCTAAAGCTGTCGTAGAAATCAGCAAAACTTCGAAATGTGATGTATCAACATATTGTGGTAAAGTTTTTGAACAATTTATCATATAGGATAATTTTATTTTAGTACTTGACATCGGCAAAAGTACAACCGTACGAGTCTATCATCAAAGAAAAAAAAAATGGATTTTCCGACGGGTCGCGTTAGATGTCGCTGCTTTTTTCATAATCTGGGTGGTGTTGGTCTGAAATTTACCTGGATAGAAGTAGAGTTAAAAGGTAAATAAATTTTATATCTTAGTTAATGCTTTGTAATTAAATATTTTCATTTGTGCTCAAAATTTTTACGCAAATAGTAAGTACCAAAATAAAATATTTTTATTGTTACATAGCCAGCAAGTCAGCAAGTAGAAGTTCTAATTTTAAATGTATATTTTGCTCTTTACGTAGAGTTAACTTTGGTTTTATAGATAAGAATGTACTTTACTTTATAATTACAATAATTAGTTCCGACCTATATATTTTTATTATACGCTAAAAGCTTTTTTCGTGTTATGTAACTACAATCAATACACTTCATATCTAACCTTACTTTATCATAAATTATTTACCGACCCGATTTCAGTCCATTGGGTCTATAAGAAAAGCGCACATTGAATTTTTGAATTTTTAATCCAAAAATTTAACCTGCGCGTACACTAAGGTTGTAGTAGACATAAAACCATACATTTAAAAAAAAAAATTCCAAGGGTTAATTAGACTGGTCACTATTTTGATTGTTATCATGTAAGAAGCAATTATTGTTTTCCTTTTTTATAACAACAAAATACTTCTTTAAATATTTATCCATCACCATGGCCATAGACTCTACATTGTCTCACACAACACAGGTGTTTACAGTTTTTTTGAATTGCTATTCAGAAAATGGTGCTGCCATTTTCTGTTTCAGTTTCCCTCTGACGCCTCTTATGACACAGTAGATTGTTCATACGCAGGCACTACATAACGCTATAGTTCCAGTGAAATAATATTATGGAATGCTTTATTCCCTTTAAATATTATGTTAGAAATAGAATACCTCCTGCTAAGTATGATAAAATATGTAAAATAAAGTTTAAAATAATTAAATATCTGGTTACAGAAACATGGCCAACATTCTATTACGCCGTGCGCTGATAGATGCAATCCGCGTACCAGCTGGTACCAGGGCTTCTAGCGAGCTTGCTAAGGTAAATAGAGTAGTCACTGTGCAGTGCACAGTCAGTAGTACTTTAGTTCCACCATTATAAAAAGAAAATTACGTAAAGGTTCATGTACAATAGTATTGCTTTTTTTAAATGGCTTAAAAAGAGTACCACTGAAATTTCAACCAGATCATTCGGTAATTGAGGTCAGTTTATATTTTTAACAATAATCCAACCATCATGTATGTGTTAATGAAAAACAAATTTTGTAAAATTTTTATTTATTTAAAAGGACAACCAACAAGACAAACACTAATACATGGATATTAAGGTAACATGAATATAAAACTAAAGCTAAGCGTCATCTTAATTATAGGCTGCCACGGCATGCAAATGTGGACTATGCAAATAAAACTTAAATAGGTTAGTTAATACTAAGCAAATGAAAACTTAAACATTTTAATCATCATTTAACAATCATTATTTATATATGTTAAAAAAAATCAAACAATAGATATAGATACTTGAATCAAACAGACACCATTGACTCGAGAAACTGACCGAGCTAGCGTCTAAATATCTACGGCTTGTCAGAAAGGATGTCGATGTTGTAAGACTTAGAAAATGTAAAATGAAAATGCAAAATGTAAAATGAAAAATAATAGTTAACATTTTCTTTTTTTTTATAATGAATAAAGGTGACAAACGAGCACACAGTCCATTTGATGGTAAGTGCTTGCTGGGGCCCATAGACATTTTATCCTTGATTAAGAATCAAAATGTAGATGTGTGTCTCCGCTGAGTAAAATGATGGAATGCCTCTTAAAAGAAGTTTTCAAATTTCAGATTATTGTGTTGGTTTTTGTAATAAATGTACAACGCCTTTTGTAATTAATGTTATGTGGTGGTATTCCTTTCCTGCTTCTAACATTTTCTGTGGTCAAATAACAGTGCCTGTGTGCAGATCTGAAGTGTATATAGAGTCAGTATAATTACAGTTTGCTAGGCAATCCATCTTAGTCCTCACAGGTCCAAACAGTAATAGTCTTTGTTTGAACTTGGTGTTCCTGGACTACTGTTGCCACTTACCATGAGGTGGGCTGTTACTTCGTTTTTTTACTTCAGCTTTATAATTTTTTTCAATAATGGCTTTATTTCTTTTTAAACAGATTGGCAACCGTGAGTGGGTAGGATATGGTTACAACGGTCAGCCCAACTATGTGGACAGGCCTGATTTCCCCATTCCAGCGGTTAGGTTCCGCCCTGACACACCTGATATCAAGGTATGTAGAACATTTGTGTATTTATGTTATGTAAAAGATCATTATCTTTGCTTAATGATTTCTTATATTTACGCGAACACTACACATTTTTAAATAAAACTAATTTTACGGATTTTATCGCGTATATTAACTTATTTTTATATTCCCGACGTTTCGGGTGCTTTCCAGCACCCGTGGTCACGGGGGACTGAGTTGTTTGACGTCCTACTGTCATAGTTAGCCCGGCTACCTTCAGTTTTTTAATATTAATTTTTGGTTCGATTTACGCAGAATGAGCTTACAGTATCTTGAAGTCTAGCAGTGGTATACTTGGGTTTGGATTTGATTTTATTAATTATGGGATCCCAAGCAGATGGCAGCACCCATCCATCTTCTCTATTGAAATTAGGATGTTTTTTAATTTCAATAGCCTCGCGAATCATCCTTGGGAGGAATCGGTGTTCTTTTGCAAGGATTTTTGGTCTATCAAATCTAATGTAATGACGGGGACGATCCTGAACATGTTCTTTCTTCTGCAGTTTGTGAACATGTTCAGGATCGTCCCCGTCATTACATTAGATTTGATAGACCAAAAATCCTTGCAAAAGAACACCGATTCCTCCCAAGGATGATTCGCGAGGCTATTGAAATTAAAAAACATCCTAATTTCAATAGAGAAGATGGATGGGTGCTACCATCTGCTTGGGATCCCATAATTCATCATCATCATCATCATTACAGCCCTTCACAAGTCCACTGCTGAACATAGGCCTCCCCCAAAGAATGCCACAAAGCACGGTCCTGAGCCACCTGCATCCATCGACTTCCTGCAAATCTTACCAGGTCGTCACTCCATCTAGTGGGGGGACGCCCTACACTTCGCCTGCCGGTACGAGGCTGCCACTCGAGAACCTTTCTTCCCCATCGGTTGTCGGTTCTTCGAGCTATATGGCCGGCCCATTGCCACTTAAGCTTACTAATCCGTTGGGCTATGTCGGTCACTCTGGTTCTACTGCGGATATCCTCATTTCTGAGTTTATCACGCAGAGAAACTCCGAGCATAGCCCTCTCCATAGCTCGCTGAGCGACCTTGAGCTTCCTCATCCGGCCAGCAGTGAAGGACCACGTCTCAGTTCCGTATGTCATCACTGGCAACACGCACTGGGTGTACAGTCTCGTTTTCAAGTTTTGAGGTATACCTGACGAGAAGATGTGCCGTAATTTCCCGAACGCTGCCCAACCGAGTTGAATCCGTCGATTGACCTCTCGGTCGAAGTTGGACTTACCTAGTCGGACTATTTGTCCCAGGTAAACATACTCGTCAACAACTTCGAGCTTAGTGTTCCCAACAACTACCGGCATAGGTGTGACATGGACATTAAACATGATCTTTGTTTTGTCCATGTTCATCTTAAGACCTATCCGTTGGGAAACACTATTGAGGTCATTGAGCATAGTGCTTAGGTCCTCCAGCGATTCTGCCATAAGGACTATATCGTCGGCAAATCGAAGGTGAGTGATGTACTCGCCATTAATAATAATAATAATAATAATATCTTTATTGATAAACATATTACAATCACAAATATTTACAATGGCCATTGATGTTGATACCGTATCCTTTCCAGTCCAGAAGCTTGAAAACATCTTCCAATGCAGCGGTGAATAGTTTCGGGGATATGACGTCACCCTGTCTTACACCTCTCTGCAATTGGATAGGTTTCGTACTCTGGTTCTGTACTCGGATAGCCATCGTAGCCCTACTGTACAAGCACTTCAACACTTCGATATACCGACAGTCAACTTGGCATCGCTGAAGGGACTGCAGCACCGCCCAAATTTCGACGGAATCAAAGGCTTTCTCATAGTCCACATACGCCAGACATAGTGGCAAATTGTACTCCTCGGACTTCTGTACAATTTGCCGAAGGGTATGTATGTGGTCTATGGTGCTAAAGCCTTTTCGGAAACCGGCTTGTTCGGGAGGCTGGAAGTCGTCAAGTCTGCGCGCGAGACGATTCGTAATGACTCTCGAAAACAGCACGTAGACGCGGCTCAGAAGGGAAATCGGTCTGTAGTTCTTCAAGAGAGTGTTGTCGCCTTTCTTGAAGAACAAGACCACCGCACTTCTGCTCCACGCCTCCGGTGTAATGCCACCATGGAGGACGGAATTAAAGAGCTTCTGAAGGACTTCAAGTACCGGTTTTCCACCCGCTTTCAGAAGCTCCGCTGTAATTCCATCCTGGCCTGGGGCCTTGCCGTTTTTAAGGTGCTGGAGATCCATTCTAATCTCGGTCAGACTGACGTCCGGGATATCATCGGAATAATGTCGGATAAGACTCGCTCTTGGATCGTTACTCACACTTGCGTGTGGCTCCAACGATGACGTGTACAGCTGCCCATAGAACCTCTCAATCTCACTCAAAATCTCAGGTGCCCCGGAAACGATGCTGCCACATTCGGTCTTCAGCTTTGACAGTTGGCTCTTTCTGGCAGACAGATCTCTGGCAAAGACTTTGGAGCCTTGGTTCCGCTCGATCACTTCTTCAATACGAGCTGTATTGAAGTTGCGTAAGTCACGCCGCATGCATTTGGAGATCTGTCTGTTCAGTTGCCTGTATGCTGTCAAATCTGTTGAAGAATGTAGCTTCATCTCCCGTCTAACAGCCATGAGATTAAGAGTGTGATCGGAGAGTTTTTGTGTTCTTCTGCGGCGGGTCTTGCAGAACTTAGCTCCGACCGCATGGACAGTTTCCACGAGCTTGTCATTCAAATCGTCCACTTCATTGCAGTCTTCTAGGCACTGAAAACGGTTTTGCAACTCGAGCTGAAAGGTTTCGGGACTTTGGGTTAGAGCACGAGGGGGACGGAGCGTTGACTTCATTAGACGAGACCTCTCCAACTTAACATTTAGGTTCAGTGTGCCTCTAACCATTCGGTGATCGCTGCCGGTTTTCACCCTCGCGATCACTGAGACATCACTGAACAGTTGTCGTCTGGTCGTCATAATGAAGTCAATCTCATTTTTTGTCGAACCGTCGGGGCTCGACCAGGTCCACTTCCTGTGGGGCCGCTTCCCATAATTAATAAAATCAAATCCAAACCCAAGTATACCACTGCTAGACTTCAAGATACTGTAAGCTCATTCTGCGTAAATCGAACCAAAAATTAATATTAAAAAACTGAAGGTAGCCGGGCTAACTATGACAGTAGGACGTCAAACAACTCAGTCCCCCGTGACCACGAAACGTCGGGAATATAAAAATAAGTTAATATACGCGATAAAATCCGTAAAATTAGTTTTATTTAAAAACATTATCTTTGCTTTTCGAATAAGTATTATGTAAGATTATTTCATCCAATATGCCTCATATGGAAGTACCATAGGAATATGGTTTCTTATACTCAATATTATAAAACTATATATTATAGGCTGTAAATTAAAAAAACAATGTGTTGCAATATTAAGTTCCAAACTTTGCTTGACCTTTTTTGTGTCTTTTTCTAATATTTGTCCCAAATTCAAAGTTCCTCTTTGTAGAGACACTAGCATATTATGGCTATAGCTCATTTGGTGTGTATTGACAGGGGAAGAAAATGCTCGTACAAAAGAAATAGCAGTTGCTGTTTTGTATGGTGTAGGAGAGAGACCAGAGACTTTTTTTCACTGTTAAAGAGGCATTCCATCTTAGTCCTTAGGGGTGATATACATTTGCATTTTGTTTCTTAATTGACTAAAGATGTATGCCTATACTCTACAGCCTCCACTTACCATTAGATAGACTAAATGTACTTGTTTGTCATCCTTATTCTATGAAAAAAGTTTGAAAGCCAAGTTCTTCTTTCCTATGCTAGTTTTCACAAAACTGACAAAAATTATCTAAACATAATACAGTGGACCCCCGGTAATCCGACAAACATTTTGCAAGGCAGTGCCGGACTATTGAATTTGTTGGATTATAGAGTACTGCCTAAGACCCTCTATAGTCCGGATTTTTTTATAAAAGAGTACCTTGTAATCCAACAAATTCCAGATCCAATGATAAGATTCTATACGTTATATATATGTACTCTGAAGAACAAATTATACTTCATTATGTATGTCAAATTTAGTAAATTGAACAACACAAGAGGGAGCTTATATTTTATTATAAAATTAACGTCATTAATGCTATAGAGCTTACAAAAACTATGCAATAACTTTACATTAGGAAATAATTGTGTACATGCTAAAATAATCAAAAATTATGAATCAATCAATTTAAGAAGCATGAAAATATTCATCAATCGGGCGTCGAGCACAATAGTGCACCACAAGTTTATAACTTGTTCAATCATGCATTTGTGAAGATTGTCAAAAAATATCTCATAATAAATAATAGACCATGTCGGATAACAGACAGGTTAGACAGAGGCTGGATTACCGGGGATCCACTGTATATAAAATTATAGAACCATAGTAGCTCAGAGACTAAGTGCACATCAAAAATTTTAAGGTGTCTGAGCAGCCCGGATTTTATCCCCAGCATCAATGATATTGTTAGTTATCATTTTAAAAAATGAGTCTGGAATATACTAAGACTGAGAACATACAAAGTCCAGCAACATGCTTGCGCACACTGGAGCAGTGCAGGGGACTAATCTATTACACTGCTCTAGTAATTGATCCATACCGTTACTGTTACAGCCTATTAAAGTCCATTGCTGAACATAGGCCTCCCCCATCGACTGCCTCATAGGGGGATTTTAGTATAGCCATGCTTGTAAAGCGGATTGGCAACCACAGTTTTTTATTTTTAGCCGTGATTAAGAAGACACTGCTGCCCATCTCCTGATATGTTTCCCTCTGTCGCCTCTTACAACACCCACAGGATGATAACATAAGGTAGTGGATATTGTTACACCGCCACTACATGGTAAAATTGATCCATAGTTCTCCAAGAAATGAGAGGAGGCCATTGCATGTCTGTGGGACTTATATAGGATGTAATTTTATTTTTTGAAACTATTGATTACAGTTTTAAATAGCAATAAGATGGAATTTTTCGTGCTGTTAAAGGTGTAAAAGGTACAATCAGTATTTTAATTTCTTTAGGTTCTTCGCGAAAAAGAGAAGGGCGATTGGCGCAAATTGACTCTGGAAGAGAAGAAAGCACTATACCGTGCTTCCTTCTGCCAGACGTTCGCCGAATTCCAAGCGCCCACAGGCGAATGGAAAGGTGTTTTGGGCTGGGCCCTTACCATCGCGTCTCTTTCCATCTGGATCTACATGGGCATGAAACTATTCGGTAAGTTGCAAATAATAAAAATAAGATAAAAACCATATGTCATGTGGCTTAATGGTGAGATATTATGTCATTTTCATTCATTTTTATAGTTTTATATTATTATGTCATTAACTAAATCAATCTGGTGAACCCCTAAGATGATAGTGTGATTCATTTATTTTTATACTATTTAGGCATCAATGGTACATTGGTTGTATTTATGTGAATTTTTTATACATGGTAGAGCCATGCTGCTGCTATATTAGTAGCATAGTTGTAGTACGAATGGGTCGGCTCGACTGGGAAAGGTCCACACTCTCACAGAATACGAGCGTAAAATAGGAACCGGAGATTCTTTTTACTGGAAAAGAGGCATTCCATTCCATTGTCACCCGTGAGGACTAAGTCCTCATGGGTGACAACGCATCTGCATTTTAATTCGCAAACGAGGATGATGTAGATGTCTATGGGCCACAGCAACCACTTACCATCAGGTGGACTGTGTGCTCGTTTGTCACCATATCCTATAAAATAAAACAGTACCTAGCCGATATGCATTTGTAGATTGACTTCTTGGTTAAAGTCATATTATTTATTTAAATAAGTTATATTATTAGTTTATAATATAACTTATTTAAATAAATAAGTTCTCCAGTTCTCTACACTTATTTATTTTCCATACGGACAGTCCCCTGTGCAGGGCGTGTATGTGGAAGGAAGAAACGGCGGCCCACGTATTGCTGACCTATCCAAAGTCGCTATATACAGGGCTAAACATCTCGACACGTGGGGATCACTCCCTAAAGTTGCTTGCAACATCAATGGACCGTTGAACTTCTTCGGGGAGATTTCGGGGCTCGAAGAAATACATTATACCTGCCCACACGCAAAATACGTGCTTAGACTTGTAGTTGCGGAAAACAGCCCGTTTATTCAATTCAATTATCTACACTCACCATATAAAACACAGCAGCATTGAGCTGTTGTATTCTGTGAGAGTGTGGTCCTTCCCCAGTCAAGCTGACCTAGTCACTCTACAACTATAAAATAGCTGCAGCGAGGCCTTACCACATATGTGGTCCTAACTAGTTTGACTACTTGTTATGGCTAAAAGAGACTTTTTTACCACTTGTAGACTTACTGTTGAAAGATAGTAGAGGTCAATGAGCACAGTTATCATTATAGCCTATTAAAGTTCACTGCTGAATGTTGGCTTCTCTCATAGCTTGCCTCCTAGGGGATAGTTGCAATGCATGGCAAGTTTTTTATTTTTATTCATTATTAGAAAGACACTGCTGCTTATCTCCTGATTTGTTTCCCTCTGTCGTCTCTTGCAACACACAAGATGATATGGGGTAGTCGATATGCTTCCACCACTACTACATGGTAATTTGTAATTAAAAATAATGTGCGCATTGAACACAGTGTAGTGCAAATTTTTCTTAGTTTAATGACAAAGTTATGTGAAACCCTGTTTAAGTGGACAGTTCTACTCTAACATTTTTTCATAGAACTAAGGATGACAAACAAGCACATAGTTCACCTGATGGAAAGAGGATGCTGTGGCCCATAGATACCTACATCTATCACCGCTTATATCTTCCAGACCGAATTTCGGTCACGGCGGCCAGCCTCAACGGAGATTAGCCATCGGCGCAGGACAAGATATAGTGCTCAAGTTTGTATGCAAGCACAAGTGCACTCTATTCCCTCACTCTCATAGTCCGTCCGGGACGGTAATCTGACATGACCGGAGAGAGATCAGGTGCAGGAACAACGACTTTACGTGCTTTCCGAGGCACTGGGATGAGACACCGCTAACTTCCTGACTCTGGGCAGCTACTCAGAATTTCTTGATGGAAAAACTCAATAACTGATTTTTTTTTGGCCCGACCCGGGATTCGAACCCGGAACCTCATGATCAACAGTCGCACAACTACAACCACTAGACCAACGAATCGCTTAATCAAAACACAAATGCATCATCACTCAGAGGACTACGATGAAATGCTTCATTACCAGTAAAAAGAATCTCCGGTTCTCTATACTCATCTTACGAAACACAGTAGCATTATGCTGCAACATTATTCTGGTATTCTGTGTGGTCCTTCCCCAGTAGAGCAACCTTTGAACCTTCGACTGCAGTCCTATACGGCTTTACCTCCTAACAAAATTTGATTTTAATATATTTGTTTTGCAGTATACAGCCCTCTACCCGAGTCATTTGATGAAGATGCTCAGAAGGCGCAACTGAAGAGAATGTTGGATCTCAAGGTGAATCCCGTGGACGGACTCTCCTCCAAGTGGGACTATGAGAACAATCGCTGGAAGTAAACTGTGAGTCTCAAAGCTATAATTCTGTGTATATATTTTAATTAGTTTGGAAAACCTTTTTAGGTGGTGAATAAAATGTATGATCGTAATTGTTGTTGTTTGTAAGCATTAAATAATTAATAATAATACTTAAATTCATTTGGAATGCTTAGTTTCGGGAATATTCTCGCGTAAACGTAAACGACTGTCAAAAAACAATTATAAAAAGCGTAAAAATATAAAATAATCCAAAACAGAATATATCATTCAACATCAAGATCATCATTTTTGTGATGATATTCTGCTTCGGACAATTTCAAAGGATATTCTAAAATATTAGACACTCTGAAAAGCACTTTTATTCGCTCCTTCCTTTGTTTTATGTTGTTTAGTACTACAACTAAACATATTAGATATTTAAATAATTTTTTGGTCTCTAAAACAATATTGATAAACTTGCATATGTATCAGCCAAAAAAAAAAACATGTATGTGTGCAGTTCATACGCGGTAGAAGTGAAACCTTTAAATGAAATGAAATATAAAATATACATGACCAAAAATTGCACGGCAAATGATTTATTTAATACATTAATTTTTAACCACAAGTGCAGTATAAAATATAAGATAAAAGTTTAATTTTATAGCAAATAAATGTTACAATCTTTATTTTTAGACATGTAGAGCCTAAATTTATTGTAATAAATCAAAAGAATATTTTCTTTCAAGTAAAATTGCTTTGCAATATTAACTAACTGTCGATGTGGTATGTAAAATAGACGCTATGTGTCCTAAACACAACTAATTTTATATAATATTCTATTTCATTCTCGCAGGCTAATGATAATGATGGGAATAAGGAGGTAGATTGCGCTTTACAAAGTAATTTTATCCGCAATTTTTTGAAGGTTTTACTTTTACCGCGTGTGAACTGCACACATGTTTTTTTTGAAGTTGTTATTAGCAAGCCCACCTCCTGCTTCATTTTCCCTGATGTTATCACTCAAAATAATTAAAACTGGGGTTGTCAAACCACCTGCCAAGCGTGACAACGATACCAAATCCCTCCTATGAAGCAACCTATGAGGGAGGCCTATGTTCTGCAGTAGACTTTTATAGGATGTAATGGATGGATAGATGGATATTTTGCGTTATTTGAACTTTTAAAACACGTTTCGTAAAGGAATAACAGTAAATAAATCTTTGTTTTGTTTACAGATGTATGGTGATGCTTCTTCACCTTTGGCTGACTCGAGGCGGAGTAGAGTAGACATGTATATATAAGCGAACTAACTCTGTAAGATAAAACAATTAAATTGTGATTCCAATCTAACATTCATCTCTGTTTTATTTATTTACGACCAATTTAATTCATAATGAGGATTTCATTAATATATTCACTATACAGGGGGAACGGGGAACCATAGAAATGTATCTATATCATACAAATAATATAAAGTTATAAAAAAAGTATCAGATAAAATTTTAACTCTTGAGGAACGGTTGAGGAAATTTGTACCATAGGGGTAGGTACCAAATTTTTATTTCTGAATCTACTCACAGGAGTGTGTGGTTCCAAAGACGATGTGTGTGACCTCTCACATCATTAACAACCTTCATAGAAGAGTTGAGATGTCCAATTTTTCACTAAATGCCCGTTTAGTTAAGAACAACCCTGACATAGTTTCTGCCACCAAGTAATAGCATTTACACTGTTGTATTCCGATCTGGAGATCTCTTATTAATAATATATATATATATATTTAAATTATTTATGAATAATATATATATATATATATATATATATATATATATATATATATATATATTGTAACGCCACACCGCCACAGCCAATCATAGCGCATCATTCAAGCCATCCAATCCTAGCCAAGCAAAGCCAAAGTCACCACTATACATAGTGTCTTACGAGCTCAATTTTGTATTCAGTGATCACACTATCGCTCGTAATAAAACGAAATGCTGTTCAAATAGTTATTCGAGTATAAAATAAAATTAGTGTGTTTATTTCTACCTTCTTTTATTTGTACTAACTTACAATATATAATTATTATTAATCATAATATTATTATTAAATGAAAAATATTATTATTAAGTAGCCATTACCAAGGGCCAGTTTTTACAATTGCTATGAGGCAATTACACAAGTTCTGGGCCATTCCATTCTATCTTATTTCTCAGTGTTAGCCTTTTTTGTTTGAATTTGTCTATGGGTTGCAGTACCACCAGCAAAATAAAAAAGTAAAGTTCTACAGCCTTTATTTATGTCCCACGGGTGGGCACAAGCTTTCCCCATTTCTAAAAATAAAATAAAACAGAACTTAAAGAATTAGTGACTTGTAACTAGCGATATTTTGAATTCTGGTTCAAGGTAATATTGATAAATTTCTGTATGGAAATCATTGCGCATTCTCTATTGCAATACAAGTAACATAAAAATTTTGCAATAAATCGTAAAAATGAATTAAATTTGCAAATTCTATCAAAGAAAAACACTAGATAAGAGTTTAAAGTAAAACACATTTTTTGTTTTATTTTTTTAATGCAGTGAACATATCAAACATTTGAATTTCGAATTGCAGCCGCTGGGATTTTCCATGTTTAATATTTTTAAAAGATTTATTCTTTATTGGTTTTTGAGTAGTTTTGTTGGCCTTAACGCACTTGTAGAATTACCACAAGTTGAAGTTAACGATCTTATAATAACAGAAAAATTAATCAGGACTTCTACAAACAGCATCTTGTCCATTCTCAAATTTGTGAAACCTGAAAACAGCTCAAGAATTAAAGAATATTCAATTCTCCATCGATATTTCGTATCTGTGACGTTGGAGGATTCAAACAACTTAAAACGTATAGCGCGTCTGACGAGAGTTGATCATAAAAAATTTAATAACTCTACAAAAAATTTAACGGCAATTGTAAACGAATTGCTCAATGAGAATCTATATGAGCCAAAATCGAATGAAACTGCTGCAGAGGATCATGATAATGATGTAATACAATACGTAGATAGGTTTCTTGCTAAACTAGAAGCATTAAAGGAACTTTATGGTGTTGATAAAGTATTTACAGATATTAATACGAACATCATAAAACTTTTCAAAGAGGCCAATGAATCACAATTGATACCAGAAACAAACAATTTGACAAGCCAAGTTGTAAATAACACAGTGATTGCGAGCAATGAATTTTGGGGTAAGCTATAATTTGATGAGGCGAAAATATTGAGCGAAATATATTAGACGAAGTAAGTGGACCCTTTTTACTGGAAAGGGTAACAACGCATCTGCATTTTGATTCTTAATCGAGGATAGATTTAGATTTCTATATACACTTACCATCAGGTAAACTATGTGCCCGTTTCTCACCCCCATTCTATAAAGAAAAATTTGCTTGAACTCGCAACTTTCATATAAATGCATAAACATCGACTAAAGGTATAATCAGCACTACAATCCTGTCCTGCGCAGATGGCTGGTCTCTTGAGACTGGCCGCCGTGATCGAAATTAGGTCTGGTGGACATTATTATTAAATGACTATATATGGTGTCCAAAACCAAACATAGTAGAAATTGTTTTGGACCGTGGATATCTAGTTCCGTTGGACTTGATGTCGATGTATAATCTTTCTCACCAGCTTATTTAAGTCCACTGTCTAGACTTGGGTTTCTCCCGTTGTAAGGAGCATTTGCTTTCATCGCCACGCTCTCAGGTGGATTGATTATAGTAGCACCAGACAACTCACACCTATAATGCTGCTCAATGTCATCGTTACCGTGATCGATACAGCCTGTCAAAAGCCCTCTACTGAATATAGGCCTAGATTGCGTATATGTGGGGATATTTGCCGTGGTTGCCACGCTTGGCAGGTGGGTTGGCAACCGTTTTTTTTCAAGTCTTTAGGAAGACACTGCTAAAAAAAAATTTACTTCGCAAATATCCGCGTTATAAAATAAAATGATGTGTCTTACCTAGTATGAAGAGCACCTCCCGCCCTCTCTCAATTGCGTGCACTATCCCCGTCACCACTAATCCCAGCACCGCTACTCCCAACACCACTACACTAGGCAAGACACACCACTGACGACAATATGACACGTGTTTCGCCTCTACACGAGGCATCCTCAGGTGATATAGACTACGGTGACTAACCGCTAAGTGAGCGGCGAGCCAAAACAACTGCTATTTATACAGACCGCTGACGCAACCGCTCTCTACTTAAGGAGCGAGCGACTGCTTCATGCGATAAAACATGCGACCAATCACCGCCGGACTTATGCAGCCGTTTGTAAAATTGCAATTGACACTGCTGTCTACCTCCGGGTTTATTTCCCTTTGTCGCCTCTTATGACATCCGCTGGACGATATGGGGTAGTGGATATTCTTACACCGTCACTAAATTCTATGTCGCCGGACTGGGTAATGACGTGACGACCTGGTAAGACATGCAGGAAGTCAATGGATGCGGGTGGCTCAGGACCGTGCTTTGTGGCATTCCTTGGTGGAGGCATATGTTCAGCAGTGGACTTGTGAAGGGCTGTAATGATGATGATGATGATAATGATAAACTAGATGCATATAGATAGCTATCTATCGGAATAGCCATTATCTTTCTGACACTATTCATAATCGTTTCTTACAACACCCATGGGATGAAAAGGGGTAATGTGTCCCTTACGTTGCCACACGCCTGTATGTTAAGTTGTTTATACAAGTGTTTATTAATACCGGCTAGATTGTTTTCATGAGGAAAACCTATACCTAAGTTCTATACAATAGGTAATAAAATCCCTGTGGTTCCCGTTAAGTACGTTATCGGAATCAGTATTCAAATGTATAGATATAACTTTACTTCCGAAAACTCTACTATAAAAATTAAATTAAATTAAAACCACATACTTAATTTGAAAATAAAAATGTATTTAAATTTAATTTAATTTTCTTACAGTCGAAATTCTTTCTATACGTTTGAATATTGATTCTGATATGATAAAACACTTACGGGAACCACAGGGTTTTTGTTACATGATGTATAACTGTTCAAGACAATTTTAATTTATTCAGAACCTAGTGGTCGACGCATTTATAAAGGAGAGAGGACGAAAATTAAGCACTTTCCATTCATGGCTAGCATCCATATATTCAATACGTTCCAGTGTGCTGGTTCCATCATAAAGTCGGACCTAATCATCAGTGCTTCTTCGTGTTTACAATTGTAAGGTCACTTCTTCTTGTTCTTCATTAGCCCGTTTAAGTCAACTGCTACGTGGTAGAGTCATGCTGCAGCTATATTATAGTTGTAGAACGAATGGGTCTGCTCCACCGGGCTAGGGCCACGTTCTCACAGAAAAACAGCGGGAAATAGCAGCTTAATGCTGCTGTGTTTCGAATGATGAGAGTAGAGAAGAACCCTTTTTGAGAATAGATGTAATGTCTGTGGGCCACAGCATCCACTTACCATCAGGTGGACTATGTGCTCTTTTATTACCCTTATTCTATTAAAAAACTGCTGGTTACAGACCTCTCCTGCTGTAGGGAGAATTTGCCTTAATCGTGTTAAATAATACTCTTTATCATTTCAATAGATGAACACTACTTAGTATACTTTACGGTACTTATATAATGTTCGTGAAACGCATTAGAAGTAAATACAATATATCATATCACCAAAATACATGAAGTATGCAAACTGCAAAACCGCTACCACTACACACTGCACTAAAAGAATTAACTCGACCGATAGAACGACGACAACGATCTCGTTGAATGACTTAAAAACCTACAACCGAAGGAGAAGAAAGGTTCTCGAGTGGCAGGTTCGTACCGGTAGTTAAAGTGTAGGGCGGCCTATCACTAGATGAAGAGATGACCTGGTTAGCAAGTCATTGTATGCAGGTGGCTAAGGACCGTGCTTTGTGGCGTTATTTGGTGGAGGACTAATGAATGATTGAATGACTTAAGCTAGCGCAATGCTTTATACTGCTTTTTTTTAGAATGAAGGTGACAAGCGAGCAAACAACCCACCTGATGGTAAGTGGATGCTGTGGTCCATAGATATCTACATCTATCCTCGATTAAGAATCAAAATGCAGCAGCGTTGTCAGACGTGAGGACTAAGATGTAATGCCTCGTATCCGTAAAAAGGGTATCTGCGGTTCTCTACACTCATCATACAAAACACAGGAGCATTGAGCTGCTATTTTACGCTGGTATTCTGTGAGAGCGTGGTCGTTCCCCGGTCGAGGGTCGAGCCGACCCATTCGTGTTACAACTATGATATAACTGAAGCGTGCCTTTACCACATAGGCTGCTTAAACTAAAACTGAATGTTTAGAGTGAGGGTAGATAACTAATAATAGTTATCTACCCCCATTCTTTAACATTCGTCACGTTTGGCAAATGGATTGAGAATCGCAGTACTAGCGTTTCGCATCTTTTACGTTTCATCCCGACGCCGGTGTGAACATTTTACGCCTCGTAAACGAGATGGCTATACGGGCATCTATGGAAAGCTATAACGTACTTATAACATATCCCATAGTTGCCACTCACGACACACAAGGGATTGGATGAATGGAATTGATTGAATAAAGCGACCGATTCTCTCACTTCATCACCACGTGGTCATTTACATTGAGTTTCATCATCATCATTACAGCCCGTCACAAGACCACTGCTGAACATAGGCCTCCCCCAAGGAACGCCACAAAACATTGTCCAGAGCCACCTGCGTACATTGACTTCCTGCATGTCTTACCAGGTCGTCACCCCATCTAGTGGGAGGCCGTCTAACACGTCGCCTACCGGTACGAGGCTACCACTCGAGAACTTTTCTTACCCATCGGTTGTCGGTTCTTCGAGCTATATGGCCGGCCCATTGGTAACGAGGTATTCCATCTTGGTACTCAGGGGTGACAATGCATTTTGATTCTCAATCGAGTTTATATGTGGTCATCCATGGGTTACTGCATCCACTTTCCATTAGAAGCACTATGTATATTTGGCACCAGTGATTTCTCTGGACCGATACGACTTCAAGAAACAAGCTTGCTCCATTTTAAAAGGCCTGCAACATACCTATAACTCGCCCGGTGTTGTAATTATTCATGGGCGGCAGTCGACACTTACCATTAGGTGAGCTGCATGCTCGTTTGCCCCATCTGCTATAAAACAAATTGTGCTCGATTGTCACCCTAACACGATCACGATCACAAATATTAAATTAATTTCCCACATGGACTCTTCCGCTCCATCTCAGAAATTAAGAAAAGTCAGTACTCTGCCGAGAGACTGATTACTTAAGTAAATAATATTTTCAGGGCCTGGAATAACCGATTCTACCGCGAAAACCCAGCGTTTCTGTCGGTCCGTGTCGGGTCTTCTTTCTATACCGGCGGTGGAGAAAATATCCCAGTGCTGGAGATATATTTTCATCCAGATTACAACCCTAAGAGTCTGCGGAATAACATATGTCTGTTACGTTTAATAAGGCACATCAAATTTCGACCAAAAAACCGAAGGAAAGTACGAAAAATCTTAATTGACAAGAAGCCATGGAATTTGCCAGTGGACATTCCGGGGGTAACTATAATCGGTTGGGGGGCTAAGGGGGTAAGTCAGTCTGATAGATATTAACCTACTCCTTATTAAAAGGTCGGCAACGCACCTGCAATTCTCCAGGTGTTGCAGATGTTTATGGGCGACGGTGATCACTTACCATCAGGTGAGCCGCATGCTGGTTTGCCTCCTCTTTCGAAAAAAATAGAGGCAGTCATAACGACTGCCGACAGAAGCGAAAACTCAATACGTATACATGTACACAGGCCGCGTTGCTAGTCTGGCGAAACACTAGCGACGCGCAGTAGGCATGTTCGTGGCTCAAGAACATTAACGTGGCTAAAGAAATTTTCCTTTCAAAAATATAATAAAAAATCAATAATAATAACACTAAATTTAAAAATTTGTAACTGTCAGCGTAAAGCTGTGTCCACATTTGATCATCAATCGTCAGTATGTATGTATGTATGTGTAATGTTTTGTAGCAGTGAATAAAGTTACTTTCTTACTTTTCCTTTTCTACACAACTTACAATGCTTACAATGTTAAAACAAGGACGTTTTTGAAGAAATAAATGTCTTAACTGTTGTATCCCAATTCATTTTGGACAATACTCGTATTATTTATGTAAGGAACTATTTTCTGCGGACTTCCAAAAAGGAGACGGTATTCAATTCTACTGTATGTTTTTTTTGTTTTTTTGTGTGTGTTACCTCATAACTTTTTACTGGGTGAACCGATTTCGATGTTTCTTTTTTATTTGAAAGCTGATACTTCTCGTGTGGTCCCATATGAATTTGACCAAGGTCAGACAATAGTTATTGAGTTATTTTTAATAACTTATATTGAAGTCGGCTGTACAAATATTTTAATTTTAAATTATAATATAAAATTAAAAATTTTGTACAGCCGACTTCAATGTAAGTTATTACGATTAACTCAAAAACTATTGGTCTAACCTTTATCAAATTCATATGCAACCATACGAGAAGTACCAGCTTCCAAATAAAAAAGATCATCGAAATCGGTTCACCCAGTAAAAAGTTATGAGGTAACACACATAAAAAAAACATACAGTCGAATTGAGTACCGTCTCCTTTTTGGAAGTAAACTTACTGTTGTTACAAAGTGTTAACTAGTGGCTAATTTTTGAGTAGCCGTATAACTATTCATAACAAGATTACCTGGAATATTATTGTTTTGCCTTTGCCTTTGCATAAATTCGAAGGGCATGTAAAGTACTCATAAGAAAAAAGAATTGAGTATACCTTGTAGTGGCGGTGTAAAAATATCCACTACCCCATATCATCCCGTGGGTGTCGTAAGAGGCGACAGAGGGAAACAAATCAAGAGATGGGCAGCAGCGTGTGTCTAATGTCTAAAGATTAAAATCGTGCGGTTGTCGACCAGCTTGCCAGGCTTGGCAACTTATGCCAAATATAGCCCCTATGAGGCAATCTATAGGGGAGGCCTGTGTTCAGCAGTGAACTTTGGTAGGCTGTAACTATAAGAAGAGAGTATATTATAAATTAATTTACCATTTAAAAAATAAGCGTGGACATGATGAGCTTCATTACACATTTTTTTTTTGTACCTAATGGGAGCAAAATAGTCTACTTGTGAGTTTCCTGTCGCTTCCTCACACCAGCTCTGCCCGCAGTAGGGCAAGTCCCTCGAAGCCATTTGGCTTTAAAAATATGAGAATAAGGTGGTCACGATATGTGGTCATGTAGCTCTGAAAACGATTTATTCTCTTGTTCGCGAGGTTTGGCTCTATGAAATGTTTCAAGTTCCGTTTCGTAAAACTTTGTTGTAGCGGTGGCTAGAATTGGCCGGGTATTTCTCAGTACTGAAGAAAAGTTTAACAGTTAATTTTTTTTTATAGAATAAGGGTGATAACGAGCACACAATCCACCTGATGGTAAGTGGATGCTGTGGCCCATAGACATCTACATCAATCCTCGATTAAGAATCAAAATATAGATTCGTTGTCACCCCTGAGGACTAAGAACGCCTCGTTTCCAGTAAAAAAGATTTTCAAATATTTTTGATATTTCAGCCGAGTAACATATTGGCTGATCCCTGGAAGAATATACTTTCATATGCCTCGCTTGACGTGTATCCACTAAAAGAATGTCAGGAGGTTTATTCCAGGTACTTGATTGAATAACTTTCTTCCTCTTTTTTTAATTAGCCTGTAAATCTTCCACGGCTAGACATAACCATTTCCCATAATAAGTTTTTTTTTATAGGATAAGGGTGACAAACGAGCACACAGTCCACATGATGGTAAGTGGTTGCTGCGGCCCAAAGACATCTACATCTATTCTCGATTACGAATCAAAATATAGATGCGTTGTCACCCGTGAGGACTAAGATGGAATGCCTCATTTCCAGTAAAAAGGGCCTCCGGCCACCTGCACTCACCAAGCGAAACGCAGAGGTAAACCTCTACTTCACGCTGGTTTTCTGTGAGGTTGTGGTACTACCACCCCGGTTCGAGCCGATCCATTCGTGCTACAACTATACCTACTACTAATATAGCTGCAGCATGGCTCTACCACGTACGTTTTAGGTGTTCATAAGCTTTGACTTTGCTTTGTAGTTGCAGCTACAGAGAATCCACTTACCCATATCTTTCCGTGGAAGTTGTAAGAAGCGACTGAGGGGACATTGATCAGGAGATGGCCAGCAGCGCTTTCCTGATTTGAACGCAGCCAGCGTACTTGGTGCAATACCACGGAGAGTATAATAATTTAAATAACGAAGATATTATGATAATTTAAGTTTTAAATTTTCGTTTTTTAAATATAGTTTTTAATGTTGTATATATTTAAAGATTTATTTAACAAATTTATAAATTATTAAAACTGAGAGCAATAAAAAAACTGCGTGTTTTTTAAAAATAAAATAAGTGTGATAGACGAGCCTATAATCCACCTGGTGGTAAGTGGATGCTGTGGCCCACAGACATGTACATTTATCCTCGATTAAGAATCAAAATGCAGATGCATGGTCACCCCTGAGGACTATAAAGGAATGCCTTGTTTCCAGTAAAAAAGGTCTATCCGGTTCTTTACACTCACCATACGAAACATAGCAGTCTTAAGCTGCTATTTTACGCTGGTATTGCAGCGTGGCCCTACCACGTACAAATACGTATACCTAGCGTGACAAATAATTAGCAATCTATGAGAGAGGCAAATGTTTTACAGGGGACTTTCGATAAATTGTAATGAATGAATGAATGAAGTTTCGACTCGAATTCTTAAACTTCAATTTTACTGACTGCAATCTCTACATCTATACATACCTACCTATATAATAAGTCTGTAAAAAAGTCGTGTCTGTAATTCTAATATATTCTTGAAAAAATATGTCCAGGGGACTAAATAAATGGCTCTGAAGCCAAATTAGTGATTTTTAGAATTTATGTCTGTCTGTCTGTCTATGTATTTCGGATTCAGGCAAAAACTACTGAACCGATTTACATGAAATTTTGTATGTAGGTAGTAAGTGACCCGGGGCAACTTATAGGCTACTTTTTAACGAATTACAGAACTTCAAAAAAAAAGAAGGTTAAGTATTTTCCTTCCTTTAGATGTTAATTTCCTATTAGTTTTAGGCGGGATGACGGGTGTTTTTCAAATAAATACCATATTGATAAATAAAGTATAAAATATATACAACTTTAACTATGAGACTAACTTACGAAAATACGAAAAAAATCAGCTGTTTCATACATTCGTGTGACAGCCGTTGACATTTTGTATGAAACAGCTGATTTTTTTGTTTTATTTCGAATATATTAAATAATAAATAATAATAATAAAGTTGTTCAATTTGATGGTCTGAACAACCCCAGGAGAGGGCTTGCGTTTAATATGTTACACCTTGTATATGCAATTTTTATTTCATTCGTATTTTCGGGTACTCGTATGTTACTTTTTGTTTTCACTCTAGCGTAAATATTAAGGCTTGCAAAGATGAGTAGAACTCATTATCGTCAGCCTATCAAAAGTCCACTGACATGAACATAGGCCTCTCCCATAAATTGTCAAGTAGCTGGATATTTGCTATAGTTGCCACGGTTGGCAGGCGGGTTGGCAACCGCAGCTATTATTATTTTGATCTGTAGTTAGGAAGATGATGCTGCTCATCTCCTGTTTGTTTTTCTTTGTCGCCTCTTACGACGGGTTGATATGAGATAGCGGATTCTATTTCACCGCCACAACAAGTCGAACATTTTTCTACTCTCTTTCATGAGTGTAGTGCTTCCCAGGTTCACATTTAATAAAATTTATAAGGAATAATACTAATTTTAAGGATTTTATCGCGTTTAATTTGAACTTTTTCAATTCCCGATGTTTTGGGCACTTACAGCACCCATGGTCACGGGGTACTGAGGTGTTTAACGATCTGATGTCATAGTTAGAATAGAATAGAATAAGAATAGAATCGAAAAGAATAAATGCAGTAGTATGGCTGAGCTTGAATTTAATTTAATTAACTATGGGGACCTTAGTAAATGGTAGCACTCATCCATCTTCCCTATTAAAATTAGGATGTTTTTTAAATTCAAGAATCATCGTTGGTAGGAATCAGTGTTTTATTGCAAGTATTTGTTGTATATCAGATCCGATATAATGGTTGGTACGATACTAAACATGTTGACATACTTTAGACTTTCCGGAGTGACGGTGCTTGACATCAATGATATGTTCTTTTAGACGGGTTTTTATGGAACTGTCATCCAAAGATTCGTAAAAAACCCCACGTAAAAAAAACTTAAAATTAAACGTAATAAAATCCGTAACATTAATTTTATTTCATGTGCAGTATACATCATTATAGAACTGCATTTATGAAATTTTGAAGTCTACTCGAACGTAAAAAAACATCTAGGTACATATACCTAGTCAGGTCATAAATTCTGTCACATGTTTAATATAAAATAATTGAAACAAGTTTATTCATTATGTAACCATTTATATACCAAAATGAACTTAACAAAACATAGATTCTTATGACAGTAAAGTTTATTCAAAATGACCTCTGTGATTTTGAATACAGGCCTTCAATGTGCGCGGCCAGTCGTCTATCGCAGCACGAACGAGGTCCATGTCAATATCGGCGGTTGCCTTAATCAAGGATGTCTTGAGTGACTCCAAATTTGGATGAGGCTTTGAGCACGCCTTTTCCTCCAAGTGTTGCCATATCTTGTAATCTAACGGATTCAAATCTGGACTGGAGGAGGGCCAGTCTTCGTGCCGGATGAAGTCGATTTCACGCACCGCCAGCCAGTCTTGTGTGATCTTCGCTCTATGAGCTGGCGCCGAATCTTGTTGGAATACCCAGTACCTGTTATTGAACATGGTATGAGAAACAGGTTCCATAAGGTTCGTCAGGACTGTATTTTGATACACAACTGCATTCGTTTTTACACCTTTCTCACAAAAATGTACCTCTGCTAAGCCCCAATAAGAAACTCCCAACCATACCATCAGCGAGGATGGAAAATGACCTCGTTGGACATGCGAAATACGGTTGCTCATTTTTTCACTACTGTGTGCGTACACCTTATCATTTTGTTTGTTGTAGCTCTCTTCTACGGTAAAATTTTTTTCATCCGAAAAAAGAATTTCCCGATATTTTTTTCCCGCGTACCGCTTCAACAAAGCGCGGCATCTCTTCAGTCTCAGGTCCATTAGACGAGCATTCAAACGATGTACTGTTTTTCTTCGATATGCCCGAAGCCCTAAGTCTTCATTTAACACCCTTTTCACCGTGGTTCTGCTTAACCCAATCTGAAGGGCCAACAGTTTCTGCTTACGTTTGGGATTTCTTTGAATTCGCGCCTTCACAGGTTTTATCACTGCTGGAGTCCTAACAGACCGAGGGCGACCACTTCTTGACCTGTCATCTACACTAGAGTCTTCATTGTATCGTTTGATGGTACGATAAATGAATGTTTTGGTTATATTAAAATTTTTCAGTATGTCAAAAATTTGAATTGGCGCGTAACCGCAACGATGCAACGCAATAACTGCAACACGGTCTTCTTTAAGCGTCCAGTCCATATTTAAAAATGAGTAAAATACTAAAATGTATACAGTTTTATTTTCATGAACAATTCGAAATTCAAATTCAATAAACTTTTTTGTGGCCAGCATTCTAAAAGAAAAGTTTTTACTGTGTGACAGTACTTATGATATGATATGAATAAAATATCTCAAATAAAAATTATACCGTAAATTGATAGAAAGCCATGAAAATCATCATTATTTTGTTAAAACTAAATTAACTTTAATTATGAATGAATGTAAAGAGTAAAATATAAATAATAATAATACATTTTGTGACCAAGACAATAAAGATAAAGATAAAGATATTTATTTTGTAAAACATGAGTAAAAATATAAAGGTGTTAAAAAACTTAAAACGAGCTACATATTTTGCCATTTATGGCGTACAAAAATTATACTTCATATTTTATTAGTTATATAAGATAAAACTAACCCTACGGACCTAATTCTAGATGTACAATTTATCTTTCTTATGGATATATCGGAAGACCCGCCCGATATGAAAATAGTAGGTGTTTCTAGACATATATATTCACGTGATCCTGTAGCATATTTTATCTATGCGAAACACCAATTATCTACGTCTAAGTCTTTTATAATTAAAACAAATCTTTGACAGCCATAGAGACAGACACCGAGGTAATTCTAAAAGTGATCGAATTTTGTTAAATTTGGCACGAAACAGTATTTAATGATGTTCCTAAACTCATTAAAGATCACGGGAGCGAAGCCACGGGTTAAAAGCTAGTGACAAATCTCTCAACAACTTACACCGATAAACGCAATTCTTTATTGATTTTACCTATGATTAATACTGTAAGACATACACTAAAATACCTGGTAAGACATGCAGGAAGTCGATGGATGCAGGTGGCTCAGGACCGTGCTTTGTGGCATTCTTTGGGGGAGGCCTATGTTCAGCAGTGGACTTGTGAAGGGCTGTAATGATGATGATGATGATGATGATTAATACTTAGCATGGGAATATACACGTACGTTTGTACTGGGAGGTAGAATTCTCTCCAATAAACGCTCTTGTACAGTGCGCTCGTGTGGTTTAATTTACATACAACATACTACATTCGATGCTAAGGTCGAACATTGGCCCCTAACAATTACAATTAGGTGACTCTGATATTTTATGATGTTTCTCGAATTTAGTATGTATGGTCTTTAGGTAATTTATTGTTACGAGCTTGGGGTTCGAGACAATTAAAAACTGCCGATTGAATTATCAAAAATGACACTTTAATTACAGAGCACTAATTACAACTTACAACCACACTAATAATAAAATACGATTTTACTACTGATCAATTTAGTTCGCAGTTGTATCACTTCGAAATATTCTCTTGTATCGCCAATTCAATACTGCCTCGGTCGCGGTCTATACCGGCCTTATATAGGGCCTCAGATAGTTTCCAGAACCTTCTACTGTAGAAATATCTAGAATGTTCGAGTACATATCGGTCCCGATTGACTAGGTGTCGATAGTTCCAAAAAATTCTTCCATGGAAATTTCTAGAAGGTTCTTGATTCTCCTAGTTCTGCTACTAGATACTAGAGGGCGCTATTGGTATTAATTGTGGCGCGCAACATTATCTTAAATACAAACCTATCGATACACGGTTCCAATCTTTCTTGCGATCTTTCATCGAAGTAGCTAGTCTGATCTGAATTTCAAACTGACAAAATTAAAGTATGGCAACGTATTTGTTACACGCTTTTTTTTTTCGGATTTTTATCGCTTAAAGTTGGTTCCAGCTGTGTTGGTATGATGCAGTGCCTACTTTTCGTCAGGTGGATAGTTAGGTCTTTTATCACTTTAATAGTACGCTAAAAGTGATATTGATCGTTATCATCACCATCATTACAGCCCTTCACAAATTTATTACTGGAAATTGGCATCCCCCAAGTAATGCCGGGAAACACGCTTCTGAGCCACCTGAATTTCTGCATGTCTTACAAGGTTGTCACTCTATCTTGTAAAACTCCACACAAAAGTCTTCGTTATTATTTTATTTTACTCGGTTATTACCAAATAATGTAACTAGAACAATTAGACAAAACCCTATGAATCAATCTAGGGGGAAGGTTTATGCTGAGCGGTGGATTTTTATAGGTTGTATTGGATAGATGGATTACTAAGTATTTATAACAGAAATTGTTTTAGAAGCTTTTGATAAATATTTATTACTGTCTTTAAACTGTATGATCTTGAATCGATTTGTTGCAGGGAATATGTTACCAGGAAAAATTTCTGCGCTGGTTTCTTCTCGAAAGGTGGCGGAGCTTGTAATGTGCGTTGACAATTCAAATTTTAAAATTACACAGGTTTCACGTTATAGTAGGATTTCAGGGTAAAACTTCGTAAATCGTTACGGATCGGTAACCCATAGGTTATATACCATACATGTGCTGGTTCTGTAGACCTTGGTATCGAATTCCGCAATGAAAACTATTGCCTGCATAGTTTTCCGTGTCTTGATGTTTGTCAATTCCACGATATGGGAATTTTTTTGGGTGGCAGTAAGAACAGAGAAGAAAGTACTTCACGGTGTACTTTCACCATAAAAATAGCGGATGGTGGTGTTGGGAGTTGTGCTGACGGGGAAAGTGCACGCAATTGAGGGAGGGTGGGAGGTGCTCTTCAGACTGGGCAGGACTTAATTATTATTATAGATATAAACTTAATTTGCTCATTATCACATGATTTTCTTTCATTACGCGGAAATGAGCAAATTAATTCTAACAACTTCAATACAATGGAACTTTTAACACTGCCTTTTCTTTATAGGATAAGGGTGACAAACGAGCACACAGTCCATCTGATGGCGAGTGGTTGCTGTGGCCCATAGACAACTATATCTATATTCGTTTGCGAATTAAAATGCAGATGCGTTATCAGCCGTGAGGACTAAGATAGAATGACTCTTTTTCCAGTAAAATGGGTCTCCGGTTCTCTACACTCACCATACTAAACACAGCAGCAACAAACTGCTATTTTACGCTGGTATTCTGTGAGAGCGTAGTCATTCCCCGGTCGAGCCGACCCATTCCTGCTACAATTATACTATTAATATAGCTGCAGCATTTACTACAAACCATATGGTCAAAACAGTATTTAAAAATGACTTCGTAAAAGTCTACTGAAAAGGAATAACTTTAAATATACCCTGTGTCACTTTTGCAATCTAAGCCGAATCTAACGACAGCACTTATGTTATAACGCATCAAGCCGTTTAGGCTACAGAACGAGCGTGGCAAAGAAATAGACACGCTACAGCTATATTATATTATATATCATGTCCTCACAGAATACCAGCTCAAAATAGCAGATCAATGCTGCCGTGTTCCGCATAGTGAGTTTACAGAACTGGAAACCCGTTTCATTTAAGGGGTCATTGTAGAAGCGTGCTCGTTGCGACCCTTGCCAGCCCTTTTCAGGGCTGCAATTCTACTTAGCTGCGCACCCATGCCAACGAGGGTTAGGGCGTCCCCCCAAGGCGACGCACACCAACTCGCCCCCGTTGGTGTGGAATGCAGCGCGCAAAGCGGCGATGGGGACCGCCACCCGTCACGCACAGCCCGACACGGCGGAAGGTGGAGGACAGAGTGCAGAGTTGGCACGTGGAATGTTAGAGGAGGCATGCGAGATAAGACGAATGAGTTGATCGAAATAATGAAAGAAAGAGAATTAGATGTCGTGTGCTTGTCGGAGACCAAACGGAAGGGCAGTGGTACTGAAGAGCTTCCTGGCGGGGCGTTAGTTCTATGGTCCAGAGTCCCGGAGAGTGAGAACGCCTGCCAGGGAGTGGGGGTGCTGCTGTCTTCTCGGTTGGTCGATGTTATGACTGAATATAAGGTTGTGAACTCAAGACTTCTCTGGGTTCGCTTTAAATTGGGACTGACGAAGTTATTCCTTTTGGCTGTTTATGCGCCGGTAGCTTCGTCGTCCAGGGCTGAGCTGGAGGAGTTTTGGGAGAATGTAAGAGAAGTTCTAGATTTGGCTAAGGGAAACGAAAGAATTGTTGTATGTGGTGATTTGAATGGATGGGTTGGTACCGCTCGACCAGGGTACGAGTCGGTACTTGGAAAGTTTGGCGATAAAAGGGTTAATGATGCTGGCAAGCTTATACTGGCGGTGTGCAAGGAAAAGGGTCTTTTTGTGACAAACACTATGTTTAATCACAAGAAAATCCATATGTATACTAAAGAACGAAAGAATGAGAGAAGTATGATCGATTTGTTCCTGGTGGATGACCGACTGCGAAAACAGGTGATGGATACGCGAGTGTTCAGGGGTGCTGACCTGGGAACGGATCACTATCTAGTGATTACTAGATTTAGGGGTCTGTTCGCGGGTTGGAGATACCGGACGGCAGTAACAGAACCACAGTCGGTCTGTCGCATCCGAAGCTGGAAGCTTCAGGAAGCGGATACTACGGACAAATATCATGCGAGGGTAGCCGAAAAGTTTGACACCATCGATGGCAGAAACGAATGTGTAGAAAGAACATGGCAGAACCTTAGGGATGGAATGGTAAGTGCAGCGGAAGAAGTGTGTGGAACAATAAAAAGAGGCAGTAGTAAAAGAAGAGATGCATGGTGGAATGATGAAGTAAAAGAAGCTGTAAAGAAGAAGAAGAAAGCATGGTTAGACTACTTGGCCTCTAGTAATGATAAGGATATGAGAGAGAAGATGAAAGAAAGATATAGGCTGCAGAAAGTTCACACGAAAGCACTGATTGAGGAAGTGCGTGAAAGGTGTAGAATGGAAGCAGACGAAAGGTTGTCGCACAACTTTAAGGAGAACTCCAAACTCTTCTGGAAAGAGGTTGGAAGGACCCGAAGTGGTGCGACGGCCTTGAGAATGAACAAAGTGCTTTCGAGAACTAATGACGTCCTCTCAGAAAAATCGGACGTCATGCAGCGATGGAGCGAATTTTATAGAGAAATGTATGCGTGTGATGATCTTAGTGAGGGATCCGGGAATGACGCCGTAACTGGTACGCCAGACCCGGACCTCGATGACACTGAGGTCATCAGTATGAAAGAGATTGAACGTGCGATTCGAAGTTTGAAATGTGGTAAAGCTGCGGGACTAGACAGAGTTACTGCTGAAATGGTCAAGTATGGTGGGCCTCGCGTCTGGGACAGCTTTCATCTGCTGTGCAATTTGTGCTGGCGGACGGGGGATGTCCCGGATGATTGGTGATCCGCAGTCATTGTGCCTTTATATAAAGGTAAAGGTTCACATTTTGACTGCGGGTGCTATCGGGCGATCAGCTTGACCAGTTTAGCAAGTAAAGTTTACTCGAAGGTTTTGACACGTAGGATGCAAGAGAAATCGGAAAGATTTCTATGGGAAGCACAACGCTGATTTAGACCTGGAAGAGGATGCACGGATCAAATGTTTTCTCTCCGCATGATCACGGAAAAGCTTCTGGCTGCTAACCAGAAGATTTTCTGTGCTTTTGTGGATCTTGAGAAAGCATTTGATAAGGTTGTAAGGAAGAAAATGTGGGAACTGTTGCCGGGGTATGGTGTGGATGGTCGATTGCTAAGGGCTGTACAGTCTCTTTACTGTGACTGTAAAGCCTGTGTGCGGGTAGGGCATGACCTGTCACCCATGTTTAGCGTCCAAACGGGCGTAAAGCAGGGTTGTGTCATGTCTTCCTGGCTGTTCATACTGTATCTCGACAGCTGTTTACAGAAGCTGAAAGATAGTTGTTTGGGTGTGAAATTGGGTGACATAAAAGTAAATTGTCTGCTGTATGCTGATGATGCAGTGCTTATTGCACCATCAGAGGCAGAACTGCAGGCATTAGCCACGTGTATGAAAGAGGAATGTGAAATTAAAGGTCTTCGTTTGAATGCTAATAAAACTAAGGTTCTGGTATTTGAAAGGGACGAAGAGAGAACGAAGTGTGAAATATGGGTAAATCAGGAATGTCTAGAACAGGTAAATGAAATTGTATACTTGGGGAGTGCTTTTAGCCGGGATGGAAGATGTGATTTAGATGTGGACAGGCGTGTCGCTGCCTGGAACAAAGTCAATGGTGCCCTGACTGCGTTAGTCAAAAGGCAAGGCATAGCGAAGAGTGCACGCCTTGCAATACATAACGCAGTGTTGGTACCGACTTTGTTATGTGGCAGCGAAACCTGGGTATGCCAGAAGAAGCATAAAAGTAAGTTGAATGCAGTGGAGATGCGATCTCTTCGTAAAATGTGCGGCGTTACCATGGCCGACCGAAAGCGAAACGAAGAGATTAGCAATATGGCAGGTTTGAAAGATGACCTTATCACAAAAATTGATAAGGGCGTGCTTCGGTGGTTTGGGCACGTTGAGCGAATGAGTGAAGACCGAATGGTGAAGAAAATATATAGCGCGAAAGTTAATATTAAAAGGTGTCGAGGTAGACCGAGACTAACTTTTAGAAGAGGGTAGGGTCAAGAGTACTCGGATACTTAGACGTGCATGCATGAAGAAGATAATGAATCTGAAAGAAGCGAAAGAGGTTTGTAAGGATCGTGACACTTGGCGATCTGTTCTCTCTGGCTACCCCGTCAGGGATTGTGCGTGAAGATAAGGAAACCCGTTTCACTGGTAACGCGGCATTCCATCTTTGTCCTCAAGTGTGACAACGCATCTGCATTTTGATTCTTAGTTGTAGATAAATGTACACATCTATGGGTCACTGCATCCTCTAACAATCAGATGGACTGTGTGCTCGTTTGCCAACCTTATTTCTAATAATAAGTCATATCTATGTCTTTTTTCGAAATTCAAGCTTTTAATAACTCTTATATATTGGTGATAGCGTGACGTGGGAGCTCCAGGCGTCGTCGATGGTATTCTCATGGGAGTTGTCAGTTTTGGCTCCCCTACGTGCGGTACTCCTGACGCCCCAACCGTCTTCACTAAACTTGGCTATTATAGTCACTGGATTGAACAAATTATGAAATTGGTATGGTTTGTTTTATTTCTTTTTTTAACAGCTTAATGCTGTTGTGTTTCGTATATGGAGCGTAGTGAACTGAAGGTCCATAATTCAATCTTAGTCCTCAGGGGTGACAACGCATCCACTTATGTAATATCAGGTTAACTTTGTGCTCGCTTGCACTATTATCTACTCCTATTCCTACATATAAATAAAATTGGAGTGTCTGTCTGTCTGTAATATCGAAATAATATTAAGCTGAGAAGATTATGTTCATAATCGATGAATGAATAAATATGAATAACCAACCAAAATGTTGTCTGTCTGTCTGTCAGTCCGGGCTAATCTTCGGAATGGATGGACCAATTGTAATGATACTACACAAACAGATAGTGAGCAATGCCAGGAGCATTGAGTTATATGTACAACGTACTAGAGAAGCCATTCTAAACAAAAAATATGCACTACTCTATCTCTTGGTGCATGCGCGGGAAATAGTAGAGTGGCGCATACGCAGTTGCGCCACCACAGACTAACTAGTAGATTGAAACTACAGTAAATGACATACTGTACGGATTGCAGTACAGTTCAGTTGAACATAGTGTATGTTCGGAATGCGAAATCTAGTACGTAGTACATATATATCCATGGCCAGGAGTGATTTAGGCTATATTTTCTCCAAAAAACTTGAAGAACTTTTTGAGAAAAACGAAAAAGCTCTTTTATTATATCAAAACTAAATGAAGCCACATTAATATATCTAACGCAGGTAAAGCCGGGACAGGTAACATGTGTTATATAAATGAGATGTTTTATAACCATCTCCCCAGACATAAAAAGCCCAGATCGGTCAAGAGAAACAGCGTCAAAGGTACTTCAACCACGCCGCCTGCTGACCGTAACTAATGATGGTTACACTTGGTAAATTAACGATGTTAAAAAATTAATTAGCTCAAATCCTCGTAATAAAATATAATGATGTATTTTACCTAGTTTGAAGAACACCGCCCGCCCTCCGTCAACGTGCACTAAGCCCGTCACCACTAATCCCAGCACCACTACTCCCAATACCAATACACTAGTAAGACAGACCACCGTCGATAATACGACACGTGTTTCGTCTCTTCACGAGGTATCCTCAGGTGAAGTAGACTCTGCGGTCGCTGAACGCACAGTATTATAGACGGTGGTGTGTCTTGTCTAGTGTAGTGGTGTTGAGAGTAGTGGTGCTGGATTAATGGTGACGAGGATAGTGCTAAGTTAACTAAGTGAAACATCATTTTATTTTGAAACAGAAACAGAAACAGAAACTTTTTTAGAAACAGAAACTTTTTTATTCAATATAGATTATAAATAATGCTTACTTACTTATCTTCACGCACAATCCCTGACGGGGTAGCCAGAGAGAACAGATCGCCAAGTGTCACGATCCTTACAAACCTCTTTCGCTTCTTTCAGATTCATTATCTTCTTCATGCATGCACGTCTAAGTATCCGAGTACTTTTGACCCTACCCTCTTCCAGCAATTTGCTCACATGGTCTTCGAAAGTTAGTCTCGGTCTACCTCGACACCTTTTAATATTAACTTTCGCGCTATATATTTTCTTCACCATTCGGTCTTCACTCATTCGCTCAACGTGCCCAAACCACCGAAGCACGCCCTTATCAATTTTTGTGATAAGGTCATCTTTCAAACCTGCCATATTGCGAATCTCTTCGTTTCGCTTTCGGTCGGCCATGGTAACGCCACACATTTTACGAAGAGATCGCATCTCCACTGCATTCAACTTACTTTTATGCTTCTTCTGGCATACCCAGGTTTCGCTGCCATATAACAAAGTCGGTACCAACACTGCGTTATGTATTGCAAGGCGTGCACTCTTCGCTACGCCTTGCCTTTTGACTAACGCAGTCAGGGCACCATTGACTTTGTTCCCGGCAGCGACACGCCTGTCCACATCTAAATCACATCTTCCATCCCGGCTAAAAGCACTCCCCAAGTATACAATTTCATTTACCTGTTCTAGACATTCCTGATTTACCCATATTTCACACTTCGTTCTCTCTTCGTCCCTTTCAAATACCAGAACCTTAGTTTTATTAGCATTCAAACGGAGACCTTTAAATTCACATTCCTCTTTCATACACTAATAATACTTATTGAAAGTCACTCTTTTGTTTGATTACCACTGGTTCGGAAAAAACCTCTGTCCTGGGAAGAAACAGCAAGAAACCCAGCGGGACTTTTTTTTTAAATAACAGCTTACAATCATGATGTTACACAAATTAACAACACAACAAATTAGAAATAGCTTGGTAGCAATTACCTCATTTCCAGGGGTTACTATCATCCATAAATTCCTTAATATTATAATAACCTTTTTATACAAAGTTTTTGAACTTTGAACAGGTCAAACTTTGTATATTTTCTGGAATTTTGTTGTAAAAGCGTATACATCACCCCAAGAATGAATTACTGACTCGATGGAGTCGAGTAACTGGTACTACTAGCTTGTGTCTGTTCCTAGTATTTACAGAATGAATATCACTTATTTTTGTAAAACTACTTTTATTTTTGTGTACGCACATTACATTTTCATAAATCTATTGAGAGGCCAAAGTTAATATATTAATATCCTTAAATTTTTGTCGCAGCGACTCTTTAGGTTTTAAATCATAAATTGCTCTTATGGCCCTCTTCTGCAAAACAAATATAATTTCAGTGTCAGCTGCGTGTCCCCATAGCAAAATACCATACGACATTATGCTATGGAAGTAGCTGAAGTAAACTAGTCTAGCTGTTTCAACACTGGTTAGACTTCTAATCTTTTTTACAGCATATGCTGCAGAACTAAGTCTGCTTGCTAGTTTTGATATATGGGGGCTCCATTGAAGCTTCGCGTCTAGTGTGATTCCAAGAAAAATGGTGGTATCTACAAGACTCAGTTTCTCCCCATTTAAAATTACATTAGTATTTAATTGTTTGACATTAGGAGTCACGAATTTCATACATTTTGTTTTAGTGCCATTTAAATGCAAATTATTAACATCGAACCAATTTACTAATTTAGATATAGCATTATTTACTTCGTCATATATTAGTAACTGTCGACTTAATTTGAAAATTAAAGAAGTGTCATCTGCAAATAATACTATATCATGGTTATCCCCTACTATGTAAGGTAAGTCATTAATGTATACAAGAAACAGAAAGGGGCCGAGAATTGAGCCTTGAGGCACGCCCATTTGTACCATCGATCCGGAAGAGCTCATATTGTTAATGACAACTTTTTGCGTTCTCTTACTTAAATATGAAATAATTAATTTAAGGGCATCACTTCTTACACCGTAGTATTGAAGTTTCCTGATTAATGTTTCATGGTGAACACAATCGAAGGCCTTGGATAGGTCACAAAATATACCCAAAGCATCCTGTGAATTCTACCACGCATTAAAGATATATTTAATCAGCTCAACACCGGCATCAGTTGTCGAGCGACCCCTTGTGAAACCAAATTGATTTTTATGAAGTAAATTATTTATATTAAAAAAATTTAACATTTGATCAAGAACAATTTTTTCAAAAATCTTACTAAGTGTTGGTAGTACAGAAATAGGTCTAAAATTGGCGGGGTCTGATGTACTACCAGATTTAAATAAAGGTATTACTTTACTATGCTTCATTAAATCAGGAAACACACCAAATTCGATACTAGTATTAAAAATAATAGCTAAATGTATCTATTATAGACGCAATAACTTTAACGGAAATCCCCCACAGATCCGCAGTTTTCTTAACATCAATAGTTTTAAAATATTTTACAATATCTTTTGATGACACTTTATGAAATCTAAAATTCTTTGTACACACATTTACATTTTGTTTAAGTAATGATTCGGCGACGGCAGGAGAAGAATTCAGTGACTTAGTGGTCAAGATCGGAATATCAGTAAAATATTTCTCAAAAACCATTGCTACTTCCTGATCTGATACAGTTAATTTGTTGTTAACACTTAACTGGTAATTTGAATTGCGAGAGTTGATCTTACGAGTTTCGCTATTAATTATACTCCATGTCATTTTAATTTTATTGGAAGCCGTCTTAATTTTGTTGCTAAAATGCAAAGACTTGGCTATGGAGCACACTCTTTTAAATATTTTTGAATATTTTTTTACATATTCCCTAAATTCGACGCTATGATTATATGACCTTTCATGGTAAAGATCATATAACCTATGTCTGCTCTTATGGACTCCTACTGTCGCCCATTCATTGAATGACTTCCGACTGTTCAAGGAGAATGTTTTAGAAGTAAAAGTATTATTAAATTCATTGCAAATAAGCTTACATAATGTTCCATACAAAAAATTAGGATCATTTTGGTATGAAAGTGATGGAAGTTTTTTCACTATGTTACTTCTAAATTTCTCTAAGCGACGTGCATTTACTGGAACAGACACAACTTTCTCATCTACTTGCTTTTTGTGAACATAAGGTAACGAAACTACTTGTCCACAGTGATCAGAACTTAATTTTTGAATTATACATTTATGCAACGGCTTCACATTTGTAAAAATGTTATCTATACATGTTGCACTAGATTGAGAAATACGCGTTGGCTCTATAAATAAATTAAAAAGACCATATGATTTAAACAATGATCTAAATTTAATATTGATGGAGGAAGCTTCTAGGAGATTGATATTAAAATCTCCACATATTACAACAGATTTATTCTATTTATTAAGCTTAGCAAAAACTTCCTCCATAATGTTTTCAAAAGTATCATATGTACAACATGGGGGTCTGTAGACGCTCACAACAATGAGGTGCCCAAACTCAACACATGCCATTTCTACAGTTCGCTCAACAGAGAGGCTCACAATGTCTTTACGTTTTTTACATGATAATAATTTACTAGCTAATATTAAGGAGCCACCTCTTAAAACCGTATCTCTATTGAAAGAACTGACCACCTGGTGATTACTGAAGTTAAACATTAAATTATAAGCTTTTAACCAATGTTCAGTAATACATAAGATATGAATATTGTTGCTATTTAAGAACAACTCAATTTCTAGCTCTTTGCCTATCATGCCTTGTATATTTTGATGCACATGGTGTAAACAATTTTCATTATTTTTCTGTGGAGTCATATAATTAAAGATTTGTAAGCCACATTCTAAATTATTTAAGTTATTATAACTGCTAGAGATTACCTCTATTGTCTCATTTTCTAATTTAAATTACTTGGAACTGATTCCAAATTGCATATTAAGTCATTACACTGCTCAAAAGAAGCAGATGTCTGTGTAGCCAAGTCCTTGGCTGAGTTAATATATAAATAATAAGATAGCACATTTGCTATCTGTCTTAAATTATATTTTGATAGGTAATACCTATCTCTAGTCAAAAATTTCTTAATTAAATTATTTATATCTATTAAATTAATTCTATCATTATAATTGTAACAATTAAATGTCAAGTTTAAATTATTATTACATGAAAAGTTATTCATTAATAAATTTAAATCATATCTTATTTTATTTTCCGGCGGCTAACCCTGTATGTAAGGCAATGTAAACAAGATAATTTTATGTACATTTAAAGTATTTAGATTATCAATATATTTTAATAATTGATTTTTGTTTACATTGCCTCTTCTCCCAACAAGAATAATTAATGTGCTATTAGGACAAAATTTACTAGCTAAAACTTTATTCATTATATGACTAAAGGATGCTCCAGGCATGCAATAATTAGTGATCATATGTCCTTTTAAACAGTTATTTAACATCATGCCCAAATTTTTGCCTATGTCATCACAATACATAATAACTTTATTTTTTTTAATATTTACATTGCTTTTTAAGTTTATATCCTTTGTCATGGCACTGTCATAGAGTGTAGGTGAAAATAATGAGGTCTTACTGTTAACTTTGTTATTTACACATATTGTCCCCGATGAACCTGGTATGGAGCGCTGATACTCACTCTGATTTTTTATTAAGGAGTCAAAGCGCTCCTCATTATATTTACATGATTTTACCAGATCATTCATGGCCAATATGTGTTCTTTTATCTCATCTTGAGCCGATGCAAATTTATTTGATACAATTTCTAGAGAGCTTTTAAGTGATAAAATTGTTGAATGTAGACACTCTATATCAGTCTCATAACAGTGATTTATATTTTCCACCTCAATTGAATATATTTTAAGTTTATTAATTAGTTCTTGCTTTTCTTTGCATACATTTATATAATTTTTAACATTAATTTTAGTTTTAATTAATTTTTGTAGTTTTCTAATATATTTATTAATTTTTATATATTTCTTTATTTTTCTTCTACTGCAGGTAGTCCTTGCTGCTGTTCTTGACATGACATAATCACCACCAGTCAAATCGATTGTTGTGGAGGGTTGCAATGCTTTAGATTTAGTAGATTCACACTATGAGCTCGTTGAACAGACTTTGAGTTTGGGACGCTTTCATGTTATCTATGTAATGTTTTAATAAAACAATCTGCTCATTAGCCTCACTTAACTGTAACTGCAATGCAGCAATTAATTTGAGGGATTCCTCATATTCCTTGCTGCATTGGTCAAACTCATCGACTGTTCTCTGAAGTTGATCCCTTTCTTTTGTAACAAATGTATATTCTTTATGCAACTTAACCATGTTTGTCACGCGGATCTCAGCTAATTAAATTTTTAACATCAATACATCTATACAAATAAATAAAATTGGAGTGTCTGTTTGTTACGTCAAAATAACAGCTTTTCACTAAATGCATATAAAAGTATATATGGTACTTATAACAAAAACACATTTGTTTAAATTTTTGTCTGTTTGTCTGTCTGTTTATTCTGGCTAATCTTCGAAACGGCTGGACCGATTTTGATGGGACTTTCACTTCCAGGCAGCGGATGTCATAAGAAATAACTTAGGCTACTTCTATTTAAGAAAAATGATTAGAGTTCCGCACAAAAAAAAATAACCTAAATTACACGCGGGCGAAGTCTGGGGAACCAGCTTGTCGTTAGTATAATGAATTTCCGCAAAGTAAAGCTTGATGCTATTAATTTGGTGATTTGACTTAAAGCAAATTCTTCATATGAGGAGAGCGGCCCATGTCTAGCTGTAGACTTTAATGGGTTGGTGAAGAAGACGATTCACAACAGTGCATCGTTACTTTAAAATCTACTACTGAATTTCGATTCGAAGATAATGATTGCTATATATTATGAATGATAGTTATAAATGATTTGCTTACTTAAGTAAGTGTACAAAAAACAAATTATAAAGTTATTTATTTTTTATAGGATGTTCCACATACTAAAAAGAAAACTACGTTGAAATACGACTTCACACCTCATATTATCACTACACCATCTACCACAACAACAATTAAACTTAGGCTATTGAAAAAGGGAGAAAAAGCACCTTATTATCCAATTGGAGATGAAAATTTTTTGCGAAATTATGATGATAAGTTGTTCCAAGAATTTGTGACAAGCGTGTTTAGTAGTGATGAGTTAGGAGAATACGAAAATAAAGTTAAGTATCAGAATTCCTTTAATAAACAAGCAAAAGACATTGCAGGAAAAAATATTAACGTCAAAAAAGAACTGATAAATCCAATAACGGAAAAATATACTACTGTTGCATACAATGATAACTCTAATAAATCACATATTCTTTTCACTGTCGGATATGCGCCGGAATCCGAAGAATATGTTTCGACCACAGCATATGTGCCCAAAATTGATGATGATTTTGAAACAGAGGAGTATTTTTATACAACAGAATACACACCTGAAGCTCAAGAATCATTCCATAAAACAAAATATATTCCAGTGCAAGAACACACTCCGAAGATTGAGAGGAATTTGCAGGTTACTAATTATGCTCCTATTAAAGAAAATCACTTCACTAAACTAACTACTTCTAAGCCAATTGATACACCCAAAGAAATATTCTTAGAACTTGCAACAGAATCTAGTGATGATTCAAATGATTCTGATCAACTTCAGTCAGGTATTAAGAATGCGATATCTTTTAACAAAAGTACAGAAGATTCCATATCAGGAGATATTAGTGATGTTCCTGAAGAACAAGCTATTGCAGAACTTTTAGATGAAATAGATTTAAATCAAATATTAAAAGAATTATCGCCTAATTTGACCATCCCATCAAAATCATCATTCCAAAGTCTTTCAAAGGATTCGACTAGAAATAGATTTGTTATTTCACATACAACAACAGAGACCCCGTTCAAGAAAAATAATAAGAATAATCTTAGGAATTTAAATTTTCAAAATGATGTCAATGGAGAGAATGACTCAGTATTAACTTCACTGTATTTATCTGATAATGAAAAGCAAGATAAAACTAACCAGTATATAGGAGATATAGGTATGATAAATGGCAAAAAAGATATCTTGAATACACATCAAGAATCCATCAAGAAAGATTCGGTACCAAGAGCCTGCAAGGACTGCAACAAAATGTACAACCTCGTGCCAAAGAGTCAGTTCTACAAAATAATTTCACAAGTTTTAAGAGCCGCTAACATTAATAAAAATATTGACACTTAGAATTTTTTAAGCTATTGTTTATTTGATTGTGATCATATTAGTTTTAAAATAGTTTTTTAAATGTAAAGAATGCAGTAGTGGGTACGATGTGATGTCGGTATAAGAGAATCCATCACCCTAGTTTGTCCTGCAAGTATTGTAAGAGATGTCTTTGAAAAATGCCGGAAAAATAGCTTTCGATACATGGCATTATAAGGGCAGCAGTGTCAGAGGTGCGAGGCGTTACGTGGTCACTGCAATAATAAATCTGCATCCTAAACATGACGGTAAAGTCTAATTCTCCCTATAATGGGAGAGGCCCATGTCCAACAGTAGATGTTTACGAACCGATAAAGAAGAACCATAAAGAAACTACTAGATTAAGAAAATAAAATAGAATGTTGATGTAAACATATAAACAAATAATATTAATACGCAAATCAAATCAAGATAATTATAAATGATAAGATAAATCGTAATATTTTAGGTATTTACAAAGATCTAATGAGTTTACAATCTGCAAAACACCTTATGGTTTACAACACGTAATTCCATACCAACACAATCACAGTAGTAGTTATGAATAGTCCAAGTTGAGTACAAAAAGTTAAAATTAAACGCGATAAAATCCTGAAAATTAGTTTTATTCCTTCTAAATTTTATTCACAATGAACGCGGAAAGCACTACACTCATGAATGGGAGTAAAAAAATGTACGCCAAATGTTGGCCAAAAAAGTGTTCGCTGCGCTGATTCCAACGCGGGATGACTTCAACTAGGAAACTTCTCAGATATGCAGGTTTTCCGTCACCGCCGAGAACGTGGTAAATTGATACTTCAAATTGTAATTAAAATATATGTTAAAACCTATACATATAATAAATCTGTAGAAGATTCGTGTCTGTAATTCTAATATTTTAAGGAAAATACAAATCCAGGGGACTAAATAAAAAGCACTGAAGCCAAATTAGTGGTTTTTAGCTTTTTAGAATTTTTGTCTGTCTGTCTGTTTGTGTATTCCCGATTCACGGAAAAACTACTGGAAAGATTTCCATGAAATTTGTGTAGGTAGTTAGGGATCCGGGAAAACTTATAGGCTTATACTTTTTATCTGATTGCGGAACTTCAAAAAAGGAGGGTTAAGTATTTTCCTCTCTCAAGATGTTAATTTCTATTTTATTTTATTGATGTGCTTTTTAAACAAATAACATATTTATAAATAAATCTTCAATTTAGTTTTAACCGTTGCGTAATAATTTGAATTACGCCGAAATTCAAAAAGTAGTAACATTTTAACTCCAGCTACTAATAAATAAAATTAAAATATATAACTTACATTTATACAGATCTCCATACAAAGTTTATGGTGAGGAATGGTAGCTGGTACGATCTCCGGTCAAAGTACGCACTTACATAATATTATGCCAAGCAATACACTACCAAAAACTGAAACGACAAACAATATCATAGCATATCTGACGGTGACACACATAGACACCTATAACGAACTTCAAACAAAGAAGGCTACAGGTGTGTTGTCATCTAAGACGGAATGCCTCACGCCTGTAATTACACTGACTCTCTACACTCTTCAGACTGGAATACAGCAGTGCACGCGCTGCAGCTTGTCCACTGAAATGGGAAAGTCGTACCTCCCCAAACGGACTCCTAAGCAGCTAAAGAGTCATACCAGAGAAATATTTACATAAAAGATTCATCTTATTTATTTATCCCTAAACCAGTGAACACGTGGTGGTTATCTCATAGTGTTTGGATCTTTTATCTCCAAAACAGGAGAACACCTCCTCAAATATTAGTGATCATATAATTGTTTTATCCAACCCCAACGCAAGCTTATTACGACTCCTAAAATCCTTATTTACATATTTTATTAGCGCCTGAGAATTTACAATTTGCAATTACAACAAACTGCAACGAATGTTTTTATAAAACATAAGGTTAATGTAATTATAAAAGTTCAATTTAAAAAAAATCGCAAGTTCTAATAACCTTAACTTATTTTATTTTCATAAAGTAATAAAACAGCAAACAAATTACGCATACGGCAATCGTGTACACCGCAATTTTAGGTGGGGCAAAGTTCTATAGAGATTTTGGCATTCTCCTTTTTGAATGTTAAAACTGGGTGAAATTGACAGTGATCAGAAAATTTATTGCTCAAAAATAAGAAAAGAGAAAATAGATTCTATAGATCCAGATGTACTCCACTATAAGACAGACTTTGAAGATACTTTTAGTATTTATTGATTGTAATGAAATCACAATCAGATGCCCTCAAGCACTACCATTTCCCGTACAAATACAAGAATAGAATGATTTTACATATCGGTGGGATAATAGTATATTTCCGAGGCAGTATATGGCAGCTTTTTTAAAATCACTCTACCCGGGAGATCTCTCAGATTTGGAAAATAATAAAGAAAAGTAATGTAGTTTATTATTATCTTTTTGTTGGTTAAAAGTTATTTTTTCATAAATAATTATTGTGATTTTTTAAATATGATAAGGGTAACAAATTAGCACACCTGATAGTAAGTGATTGCTGTGGCCCTTAGACATTTACATCTACGCTCTATTACGAAACAAAATGTTGATGCGTTGTCACCCGTGAGGACTAAGATGGAATGTCCCGTTTCCTAAAAAGAGTATCCGGTTCTCTACACTTACCATACGAAATACAGCAGCGTTAAGCAGCTATTGCAGCTGGTATACTGTGAGAGCGTGATCCGTCCCCGGTCAGGCCGACCCATTCGTGTATAATTCTTTATAATCTTTATACTAAACTAATAAAACAATTATTAATTGTTTAAATATCATAAGATGATAAGTTGAAATTGTGATTACACCAAAATTATACCGCCTGTTGAATATAAAAATAAAAATATTTTATGCTAAGCTAGATAACATGCCAGGATTATTGTTAAAAGTTAAAACAGGGTAAAAATGATAGTTATCAGAAAATTTACTGGTCCAAAATGAATTATTATATACTCTACTATAAGACAGACTTTAAATATATTGTTAGTTGTTACTGATAGAACTGAAATCACAATTGCTAACCCTGACTAGCTGTAGTGTGGTATAGCCCCCACGACTATATATATATTAGAGTTAAGTTAAGAAGAGACAGTATAATTAAAGTTCTTGTACAAGCAACACGTCTCCTTCATTCAACACCTTCCGAGTTCCGACATTACATGGCGACCCTGCCAGGCGGTGCGCTGCTACAATGCACGCGCACCGCCACGGCCTGCAAAATTTGTTGAAAATAATATAAATATTTACCCGGACTACACGGAAATATATTCACCCGGATGTGATAAAAAAAAATATGAATAAAAGAAGAGGCCACAATAATAATTTTACAGAAGGTGACTGAAAAATTATAAAGTATAATGTATATGAAGTATGAAGGCAACTAAGAGGAAAATAAAAAGTGATTTTTTATATAATGAGGAAAATCTAAGAAACGGCAGATTTATTTTAAGAGGAAAGAAACAGTTGTAATCTTGAAAGCTTCGTCCAGAATCAGAAGAATGACAAAATTGAGCCAAGAAGAACAAAGAAGAAAATTTGAGGTAACATCGAATCAGCGTATTTTTTTGTCATTTCTTTTTAAGATTTCTTTGAAATGTTTTAACTATTATAAAAAAAATGTTATGTTTTTAACATCTTGTATTTAATATAATATGGTAAAGTCGAGTTTATTAATCAGATACTCCACGATTTAATTGATATTTTAATATATTCTTAGTGTATCTAAAAAAAATCATAATGCAATATTAAAAATTAAGTTACCATTTTAAGCACTCATGTATGTATTGTAAAGGCACGAGACGATTTTATATTAAATTTAAATCAGTTATTTTTTCTGCTTTATATTATTTTTATTACTGTGTCATGCAAAAATGATTGAAATGATATAGTGGATTACAGTTTTACGTAATTAAATTTACCATGTCAATGAATTTTTCATATTTTGTAGATGTAACCATTGAGTTAGTTGTAACACATCAGTAATAGATTCCATTGTTTTTTTTTGTAGCAAATTTCATTTAAATGTATACAAATATGACAAAGGTTATAAACAATTAGCTATTATTATAAGTTTTTTTAACTTTTCTAAGAACAATAAATCTTAAAGTTGTATATTAACCCTACTTAAAAATGAAAATTGTTGTTTTTTCATGTACAATTAAATTAATGTTTTGTTATATAAACTTGATAGTAGTTGTAGTGATTTTTTAATAATGTTGCCTATACAATAAAATAAACACCATATTTCTAGCAAGAGTACTTAAGAAAAAAAAATAATGCACTTTTCGATGTGAAACTAATTAGGGGGGTCATTGTAGAAGCGTGCTCGTCGCGACCCCTGCCAGCCCTTTTCAGGGCTGCAATTCTACTAGCTGCGCACCCATGCCAACGAGGGTTAGGGCGTCCCCCCAAGGCGACGCACACCAGCTCGTCCCCGTTGGTGTAGAATGCAGCGTGCAAAGCGGCGATGGGGACCGCCACCCGTCACGCACAGCCCGACACGGCGGAAGGTGGAGGACAGAGTGCAGAGTTGGCACGTGGAATGTTAGAGGAGGCATGAGAGATAAGACGAATGAGTTGATCGAAATAATGAAAGAAAGAGAATTAGATGTCGTGTGTATGTCGGAGACCAAACGGAAGGGCAGTGGTACTGAAGAGCTCCCTGGCGGGGCGTTAGCTCTATGGTCAGGAGTCCCGGAGAGCGAGAACGCCTGCCAGGGAGTGGGGGTGCTGCTGTCTTCTCGGTTGGTCGATGTTATGACTGAATATAAGGTTGTGAACTCAAGACTTCTCTGGGTTCGCTTTAAATTGGGACTGACGAAGTTATTCCTTTTGGCTGTTTATGCGCCGGTAGCTTCGTCGTCCAGGGCTGAGCTGGAGGAGTTTTGGGAGAATGTAAGAGAAGTTCTAGATTTGGCTAGGGGAAACGAAAGAATTGTTGTATGTGGTGATTTGAATGGATGG